ATCCACCAGCACCAAAGGGACGAACCAATTCTTGAAATCTTCTCCACTGCTTTCGTGGATAGAATTCTGTTGTGTCAACTGTGTCAGGTGCGAACACGCCACCAATCTGGCCATGTAAGAAGTGATTTGGCATGAGAGGTGTACTGTCTTGTGGATGAGCAGATTGGTACGTCAACGGACGAGAGTTGATAAGAGCCTCTGCTCCAGTGAAAGCTTTTCAACTGTGACATCACTGGCACTATGGATTCAAACACCCCTCCAAAATGTGATGAATGAGGAGGATTGAAATGCCATTTGATCCTTTTGTTGGCAAGTGAACGTCTGACTGCATCCTCATCAAGGAGCCGGAATGGCTTCTTCAATTCCTTGACTGAACCAACGAAGTTGGCACCATTATTAGATACTACCAACTCAGGGAGACCTCTTCTGTTAACCATCCGATAAAAGGCATTTAGAAAAGAGTCCATATCCAATCCATAGGCCATTTCCAAATGAACGGCTCTGGTCAACAAGCATGTAAACAGACAGAGGTAACATGTCTTTGTATACCTCGACCTTGAATGGTCATGAATGGCCCAGCATAATCTACCCCAGTTTGTGTAAAGGCTCGAAGTGAAACTGCCATTCTCATTTTGGGCAAAGGAGCCATAACTGGTTGAACTGGCCTTGCCTTATTCAATAGGCACCGTGAACATTTCATTTCCAATGACCGAATTGCTTCTCTACCAGAGATAATCCAGTATCTCGTTGAAAGTGAAGCTAATGTTTGGTTCGTTCCAGCAACATGCTTACCTTCCTCATGATAATGCTTGACATTAAGCGTTGTAACCCAGCTGTTTGGGGGCAGAATGATTGGGAATTTTGTATCTAGAGGTAAGTATTCAGCATACTCCAAACATCCCTTCAACCTCATGAGCCCATTGTCATCCAGTTGAGGATGAAGGTTACCTTGATGGTAATAGCTTTCTGGACATCAATGATGAATAGTCCTTTGGATAAGATTCCCTCTGCACATCCATGATGATTCTGTTTTCAGCGTCACTTATCTCATCTGGTGATAATTCTCCTTCAACTTTATGACCGCCTCCGTGGTCTAGTGGTAAAGCGTCTGCCCGGAGAGCGGAAGGTCCAGGGCTCGATCCCCAGCAGCGTCATACCTAAAGACGTTAAAAGATGGTACTTGTTGTTACCCTGTCTGGTGCTCGGCATTAAGGGGCTAAAACAAGGACTGGTCGGTTCGGACCAAGACGTTCTAGTGCAACATCATAAGCTACTGAAATGTGGCCTAAAGACTGAATTGCTTTCAACGCAAAGAGATATTGGTGTAATTGCAACTACTTGTACTCAGGTGTGGCTGGGGACTGATCAATGCAAGTCATAAAGGCAGCCTTCCAACTTTGATATGTTTATTTATATCATCTGAGAATGCAGGTATCGACACACGTTTCAACTGTTTCCACATGTCGTTCACTATGGCCTTATTATCAGACTTATGTAACCTTAGGTTTCGGGTACTTTACCCTTCTACCTTTGGTCACTTGTACTTATCAACCACTCCTTGTTTCTGGGGATGATGTAGCTCTCAAAATCACAAGTCAGCTTGTTTGCTCAAGTCCTTTTTATTTATGATAGAATTAATCATAAATATACACACGTGGTCCTCATGGCCTGTATAACTTAAATACAACACATACCTAAAGGATGCATTGAAGAGCCTGATAGCCTTTCTGATCTACTGTTAACTCTAATATTTTTCTGACCCGGAATTCCAATCTATAGAGAGAACCTCTCCGTTCAGCCGCGAGTTTCCGAATCCCAGCACCACTCCCGGACAACTCATAAAATACCCTCGATGATGATTTTATCTCTCCCCACCGAAATAATGTTTCAAGTCATACCGAAATGACTCATATGCCCATTTCAACAGAAGCTTATTTCCAATCTCCAAATGGCAGATTCAGTTTGTGCTATCAAACTCCTCTTGTCTAAAATAACTCAGTTAACTTTATAAATTCATCAGTCAATCGAACATAGTTCATGAACCTAGGATGAAAGCCCTATACTATGTCAAAGTGGTATTTACTAATTTACCAAGACATCCTTAATCAGATGCCAATCATGCAATAATTCATACAATATTGGGTCACTTCAAGACTGATTGTCTGTACCATCTTTTCATTTCCTCTCTTGTACTTATGTTACAAGACCAGATCCTGCTAATTCCCTTTTACTGATGAGAAGTTGTTCCTTAGAGCAATAGAATCGATACGCTTTTGACCTCTTGGTTGAAACCTCACCCAGTACAGTCACCTCTCACATGTCCCTTTTGTACTTTAACCTAAGCCTGATAGAATTTCATAAACCTCATTTTAAATTAATAGTAAAAAACACTTTTTCCCAAAATACCCTGGATATACTTACCAGGGCATTTTGTTATACCAACAAGCAATGCTAGCTCATCCTTCTGACCATGATTGTGTCCTTCAGAGACCAAATGTTCACGGTCGGCTACTTCAGATTGCTTGTCAGATACAACATTTAAAAGTATAATTTTCAAAACTTCCCAATGTAGCTCAATGTGTATTTGTGCACTCCCACTTTTATCACCAGCTATGACGTCATATGCTTTATGACGTCCAAAGCATAACATTGACTGTCACCTAGGACTATTTACTTCTCCCTCTATTGTCACAGTTACATCATAGGTATTAAGACGCCACAAAGACTACTGTTATGCGTCGCCTAGGACTACAGTGTAAGTTAAAGTTTTCATTACACCTGAAGAGTTTTTGAACGTTTATCTTGTGTAGATAAAGGAGTTTTGACAAGCATGAATATCTGGACTCTGTATAATGACACTGTGTGCGTGCGTGCGTGCGTGCGTGCGTGCGTGCGTGCGTGCGTTTCACACATCACAAGATTCGAAAGGGAGGAATGTCACAGAGCGACATGGTCAATACAGGGGTACAGGGGTACAGTGGCCAGCGCACCGACCCATCACAGTGGACAGCGGCCAGCACACCGACCCATCACAGTGGCCAGCGCACCGACCCATCACAGTGGCCAGCGCACCGACCCATCACAGTGGCCAGCGCACCAACCCATCACAGTGGCCAGCACACCGACCCATCACAGCGGCCAGCACACCGACCCATCACAGTGGACAGCACACCGACCCATCACAGTGGCCAGCGCACCGACCCATCACAGTGGACAGCGGCCAGCACACCGACCCATCACAGTGGCCAGCGCACCGACCCATCACAGTGGCCAGCACACCGACCCATCACAGTGGCCAGCGCACCGACCCATCACAGTCGCCAGCGCACCGACCCATCACAGTGGCCAGCACACCGACCCATCACAGTGGACAGCACACCGACCCATCACAGTGGCCAGCGCACCGACCCATCACAGTGGACAGCGGCCAGCACACCGACCCATCACAGTGGCCAGCGCACCGACCCATCACAGTGGCCAGCACACCGACCCATAACAGTGGCCAGCCCACCGACCCATCACAGTGTCCAGCGCACCGACCCATCACAGTGGCGAGCACACCGACCCATCACAGTGTCCAGCACACCGACCCATCACAGTGTCCAGCGGCCAGCACACCGACCCATCACAGTGGCCAGCACACCGACCCATCACAGTGGCGAGCACACCGACCCATCACAGTGGACAGCACACTGACCCATCACAGTGGCCAGCGCAACGACCCATCACAGTGGACAGCGCACCGACCCATCACAGTGGACAGCGCACCGACCCATCACAGTGGCCAGCACACCGACCCATCACAGTGGCCAGCGCACCGACCCATCACAGTGGCCAGCACACCGACCCATCACAGTGGCCAGCGCACCGACCCATCACAGTGGCCAGCGCACCGACCCATCACAGTGGCCAGCACACCGACCCATCACAGTGGCCAGCGCACCGACCCATAACAGTGGCCAGCGCACCGACCCATCACAGTCGCCAGCGCACCGACCCATCACAGTGGCCAGCACACCGACCCATCACAGTGGCCAGCGCACCAAACCATCACAGTGGACAGCACACCGACCCATCACAGTGGCCAGCCCACCGACCCATCACAGTGGACAGCACACCGACCCATCACAGTGGCCAGCGCAACGACCCATCACAGTGGACAGCGCACCGACCCATCACAGTGGCCAGCCCACCGACCCATCACAGTGGACAGCGGCCAGCCCACCGACCCATCACAGTGGCCAGCGCACCGACCCATCACAGTGGCCAGCGCACCAAACCATCACAGTGGACAGCACACCGACCCATCACAGTGGCCAGCGCACCAACCCATCACAGTGGCCAGCACACCGACCCATCACAGTGGACAGCGGCCAGCACACCGACCCATCACAGTGGACAGCGGCCAGCCCACCGACCCATCACAGTGGCCAGCGCACCGACCCATCACAGTGGCCAGCGCACCAAACCATCACAGTGGACAGCACACCGACCCATCACAGTGGCCAGCGCACCAACCCATCACAGTGGCCAGCACACCGACCCATCACAGTGGACAGCGGCCAGCACACCGACCCATCACAGTGGCCAGCACACCGACCCATCACAGGGGCCAGCGCACCGATTCATCACAGTGGCAAAGCTAATCAATCACCTTGACACAGAATAAAAGAAGTTGCTATCTATAAGAATGTCATGTATTCATGCTATTCCAACTTCTAAATGCCTATCAAATACTACTTGTTGAGATTGGGACTTGCTAATAGCATCAGACTTGAAGTGCACAGTTGCTTGTAATGATTTCTGGAGCTTTCAGGACATGACGATGAAGGAGCTGCTTCTTTTTAAAAACTTGCAAACAGTATCCTTGGTAACGGTAATCATAGATGCAAGCTCACTTAGACAAAAGTTGCCATTCATCCAAACAATTTCAAATATGAATTCGACTGATGTTTTCTGGAAACTGACAATGCTAAATAATTATTTTTGTTTCTTGCCAGCCTGTCATTCCAATGTTTACTATGAATTCTCGGGAAGCCTTCCGCACCCCTGGCTGGGGAAGATGTAAGTATGTTGATTCCAATTTACACTGGAAATTTGCTGGAATTTTCCAACTGCCTCTCTGAGTTGTTGCTACATTAAATGCATATCATATCAATGAAGCACAAGGCTTCTTCTCTGCTGTGTGACACTGCACGGTCATCAGCTGGTAAGAGTCAGTAGTCTCATGAGAGGCAATGCTGATACACATCTATGCATGCTGATGCTTAGCGCAGTCTTTGTGTAGACACTTCTTGTGCACCAATATATATACTATCTTACATATGTTCATGGTATACCATTGATTTGCACAATTTTAAATATTTGATACCTATTGTTTTAGAAAATTAGCCCTAGGTAATTAGGGTGCTCTCTAGGCCTACTATGTTGACAGTGTTATTTTGGAAATGTTTTTATGGTGGATCATGAGGACTAAAGCTTGTTTACATTGATACTTACACACCCTAATAACTAACCTGGCAGTCATGTTAAATTCCACCATGAATTTGGAAATTACTCAATTCTGATTGGTCAGTCAGAGGCTATTAGATCAAAATAATCCCCCTCTGATTGAAACAGCTGGTTTGACGGCCGCATCACCACAGAAGCTAATATTCATAGAATAGTACTTTTTTCAATCATTGTCGGTAGGCGTATTTATATAATTATACCTACAATTATAGGTTACAAAATGCAAAGTAACGGTTACTACAAATTTCAAAGGATGTGTATACATTTAGTTATTAAAAAAACCCATAAGAAATGATGAAATCGTACTTCATAAAAAAGAGGTAATAGAGAAATGGATGGCCCTATCTAACCTATAACTTAGTCCTTAGATTCCAACATTCCCCTGATTGTGTAAGTGTAATTTGACTAATGTTGCACCATTATTAATGGGGCACTAGCCTTGTCATCAAACGTAATGAAATACAAAAAAAATAACACCATTCTATATGACGTCATGGCTGGTTATATTTCTTTGATAACATCGGAGAAAGACGACACTGGTATTTTGATTAATATATATCTCCCCTAATTTTCGTTCATGGTATGGAAAATCTCGATGTGTAAAACGGAATTTGACGCTTTTTCGACACAACATAAAATGACTGCTTTCACCAAATAAATAATGTCTTGAATATGTAAACAATTAGATAGTTTATCATGTATCTTAATTGGACAAGACACGCACCTGTTTGGCATCAATGTACATAATGAAATACCCAAAAGAATATTTCAAAATAACCAAAATTATATTCAATATTGGACTTATATTTGTTCATTACTATGTTATTATTTCTCTTCATCTCGTCTCAGAATTATACAATAAAAGATGCGAAGAAAGCTTTATTGGTATAGAATTATCAGGATAATCATATAAGGTTGAACCAACGGGGTACCTGGCATGGATTTTATTTTTATACATTTTACAATTCCTGGAGAAATAAAGTAAACAGTTTAATATCCTGTGATCACAGTATTGAAAATAGGATGAACCCATTGATTATATAATGCAAAATGAGAGGAATAATTCGAAAATTGTTTGTGACTAACGCATTAGATATCGCTGTTCTGTGTATCAAAGGACATAAAAAACAATTCCAAGACCAAGACAATTCTTTCAGAAATGTGTGCATATATTTTAATGAAAAATATTATCCATTTTGTTAAAGTAATGAAATGGCTATTCATGGACATTGGTTATATGAACTTATAATATTGACTATTGCACATCCCTAAAAATATGAACATGCTGCAGTTACATTTACACTTCATCTTGTAACACTTGTCCAGGAAAGAAATATCGTAATCGACACTAAAAACCTATCAATTATCAATTGTTATGTAAACAATGTTCAAACAAATAGGAGATTAGCAAAGGTTCATTCATACATGTTGTGGCCTATATTATGTATGATATCATTTTGAACATTGACAAATAACCAAAGTGAAATTAATTGTGTATGCAAAATCTACATCATAACTGAAACTGTAAACAGCATGATACAATGATCGTGTGCACTCTCATTCAAGGACCTTCACCTCAAAGAAATTACCAAATTTGTACAACAATGTTGACATATGACATCACTACCTGTGACCGACTTTTACAAAATGGCGTGTTCACTGTCAACAGTACGTGGGATTTTACGAGGGACCTTTCCTTGATTCAGGGATCGTATATACATAAATGTGATGAATAGACGAATGGATAGCTCAAAATAGGAGAAAATGCTACACTGTGTAAAATCTGTATTTTGCGTTGTTTACATTTCAAACAAGTGCAGTTTTTCGAGCACAGCGTTCGTTTTCACACCTAACTTATTTTGCTTGATTTCACCCAGCCACTTTGTATTGGTGACAAAGACCATTAGTCATTTGATTCTAAAATGTATGAGGAATTCAAGGATGTGTGTATCGCAGCTAAGGTTGAAATATACCTGATGTTACAGGCGCCTCATAACCGGTGTACCTGAAACGTGATTTTGTAAACACTATCCAATATGGCAGAAAGTTCACTTCGGCATTTGTCTTTGCGTATTTTCCAAAACATTCTAAACGATTCTAGGGTTATTGGAGACGTTTTGGAATGATCATTGGTGTTTCATAAAAGACAGATACCCGTGATCACTAATATGCTATTTTAGAAATTCATTTCCGCGAGTAAATATCCGAAATTTAGATCTCAAAACATGCTGTAAATAATGCAGTGAGTGGTGATTTAGTAATGTGTAAAAAATGGAGACAGTTACAATGTACCTAATTTTCAGAGGTCATTTTCAGTACTTTTGCTTGGCCTAAAATGCCAGTGGATGATATCACAGAACAGGGAATTTCCCACCTTATTCAAAACTGTGAAGTGTATTTGTGTGGGTGATTTATTTTGAATTTTATTTGACTTCAAAGTGAGGTTTGTAGAGGAGGGACATATATGTCCCTGTGGCATCCATGGGGATAACCAAGCCATTTTTTTGGTAATCAAGGCTTTGATAGACACTGACTTCCAATCCAATTAAGCTGGAGATTAGTTCATTGTTACTCATCCATAAGAAAAACACATGCTCTTTCTCTCCAATTTGTCTCCATTAAGAAAACAAGACTGAAGCCAGCCTACTCTGCACATCACTTGCATTGTCAGCTTCACTGTGTCACACTCAGAAATTATTTCATGCATGATTTAAAACTAAGAATCATCGGTATACTATCCCTTTAATTTTAGCTCGATTACTCTCTTCAATGTGCCTCTAATAAGAACATGACCAAAGCCAGTTATTCTGCACAGCACATGGGATGTCTGCTTCTGTGTGCGGAGCTCTGTTGTTTTGGTTTGAGAATTGAATCATGCCTGAACTATAAGTGTGAAATCACACACAGAAATTATTTCATGCATTATATAAAAACACCCTTAACTGTGGTTGTACTGGCCCTTTTGTTGTAATGTTTTATATGTTGGTGATTTAGAACATTGTAAAATGATACTCTATTTAATACAAAACATAGTGTTATGTGGCAGTTTATATTGTAAGTTTTTATTTCGGATGATTGAAGCAAATATTAGACTCTTGTAAAATCTTAAGCTTTGGAAGTGGCTCAGGCCAGCTCATATACATGGAGTGATCTCCCTTGGCTGTTGTGGTTGCAAGCTCTGTCCCTGCGCTGGACACCTTGATTACTCTCCCAGTGTTATGAGAGCTCTGCTGTGAGGAGTTTGTCTACAGACATTCATTCACTTCCAGGACAGACTACCTCATTTGAGGCATTTCTCATGGTTAGTTTCCAGGGCTATGCCTATATAAAAGCAAGATATAGACGATTTGAGAGCTCCTATGACCTGACTTGCGATTTATCAAATTACCCAGAGCAGACAGGATACTTATCGAAAAACGTTGACTCATTGCCTGCTTTCAAAACTGTTTTCTGGCTTCAAGAATTGAGAACTTGCCTCATTCAAGACCTTCGACAAGTTCTGGACATTGATGATTCCACAGAATGCTCCTTAAGTATGAAAGCAAGAAACCTTCGAGTGATCTTTGATTCTACACTCAGTGTTGAATCGCATGTTAGCAATGTCTGCAAATGTGCCTTTATGAACATAAGGAACATCAAATAAGACAATTCATCAATGCCAAAACTTTGCCTGTGCTTGTCCAAGCCTGTCCTATTTCTCATCTTAACAATAGTAATTCTCTTCTTCTCAGCCTTCCAAAACACCAGATTTTCAAACTCCAAAATGCAAAATTCTTCTTAACTTGTAATTAAGAACATATCACTTCAGTTTTGAAGGATCTCCACTGGCATAAAATTTAGGACAGAATCAAGTTTTAAGTACTGACTCTTACTTTCTGAGCACTCCATTCTCAAGCATCTGCATATCTCACCGAGCTTTTCCAGGAATAGAACCCTTCAAGAGAATAAGGAAGCATTTACTGACAGTACCCTCATCACATGCATCACTTGACAGATGCTTTGGGAAGACAGACCCGGTGCTAAGTAAGAAACTCACTCCTAAATGAAATCCAAGGTTCACAGAAGTTAGAAACTGTTAGATGTCTTCTGAAAACTCACCTATTCAAAACCTGTTACTACTGACTTGCAAACAAAGATGTCTAAGTTAGGACATCATCATACCCTTAGATGTTATAACCAACTGTATTATATTCCTTCAGCTTGGCATAACACTGATTGAAACTGTCCATACAGTCATCCCTTTTATCTAGGTATAAGCAATACTTTGGCTTGTATCCTCTGTTCAGAGAAAGAGTCTACACTATTTTACAAAAAGTGCAGTTGACAACTGGAAAAATAATACCGACATAAATAGTCCATGGAAAGAATCTTTATACAATATTAAAAATGAACAAGAGATAATAAGGAGCTTGAATTCCAACATGGATTCCTTCAACAAATAGTCTTTACTAGATGATAATAATGATTCATAAGATAAAACTTGTCAATAAAAAAAGCAACACAAACTCAGAAAAGTGTTCTTGCAAACACCTTTCTTGTTTTTCGAAACCCCTTTTAACAATGACTGAGAATGAGTACATTCCAAAAAATACTAGTTTTGGCAGTGAGGCGGACGTCAAGTCAGCTGTTTCAATCAGTATTGGCTATGGTATTTCCCACTTCTGATTGACCAACAGGAGTAAAATATTTTTCCAAATTCATTGGAGAAGTTGTGTAAGAACCTGCAAACTGGTCAATAGTGACCCTTGCCAAAACCGCCTTGCTTGATCTCATCTCCTTCACAGCCCTACCTAATGCTATGTTTTCCTATTTCAGCTCTCTTGAGAAAATTTTATGAGATTACAAGATTGCCACTTGTTCCTATTTATGGATTTTTTCCAGTAAAACTGAGGTAAGTTGAAGCTGATCCTCTCCTGTCCTGCAATGTTCACCTGTCCCAAGTGGAGTGACCTGATCAGGACCTGGCATTCAGTCTCAAGCCAGCTGTGGGCAATCTGTAGTGTAGGCTTTTTGTCCATCTTGTCTTGATGACATGTCATAAGTATTCCAATCTTCTCTCCAGATAAAGTCATTACATTTTGGTGCTATAATCCTCGCCATTTGAATCGAATCAGAAAATATTGTGATTATCAATTAACGAAGTTAGCTTCGTGTGTACTAATACTTATACAATGGAAACAAGCCATGCCAGCTCTAAGGAATGTGATTTATAGTAATGACAAAAATTGCAAAGTGCACTTTTCAAGAAACAGCCATTTTGCTGGTGATAAACATGATCATTGAGTTATAATCACGTGGGTTACAGTCCGGGTTGGGATCGGCAGTCAAGTGACTGATAAAGACTATATTTATCAGTGTGTTCAGTGTACATACATTACCAGCAAGAAATGAAAGAAGAAAATGTACAGAAATATATATGTATTTAAATCGTTGTTGTCGTTGTTGAGATGCATGCATTGCCTCATATAACCAAATAACCATAGCTGAACTGTAACTATGTGATCAAAACTTGATGATGTTTATCGCTAACAAAATGGATACAGTAAACTATGGTTATAACAAACTCAAAGGGACCACTTATTTATGCATATATACAGCATAACTACAGCAAATAGTCGGGACAAAAAAGTAAGTTTGTTATATCCCTCAGTTTGTTATAAGTGTGTTCGTTATAACCGTAGATTACTGTATTTCTTTGTTTCAAAGTTATCCTGCATTACGCATGTGTTTTCCCAAACCCGATATCATGTCATGGAACCAGCAATGCTTTTGACTTGTGTTTCTGGTAGCTGGAGTCAAAGGACTGCTTTAGACACTATTAGGAATCCAAGGTGATAGATACATACTGCTCAGTTGGTCAGCTGTCGCCCAATATGGTAAAGTAAAAATAGTTCATAGCACATAATTCTGGCGGAAAATGGTTGGGGTTTTCTGGAGAATGGATGGGGCCACTTCTGTTTTTGCATGTAATACAAAGACAAGAGTTTCTTGTTTGCTTTTTCCTATCTATTAGGACAGATAAGATACGGTAAACATCACCTTGAAGTGAAACATTCTGTCTTGAAGTCTGTCTGTAATTGCCAAATTGAAGTGTTTCCAACTTGGATCTTGGGCATATCTTGATTTTGTATCTTCTGTTGCCCATCATTATGTCATAATGATCATGCTGTTTAGTTGTGCCGACACTTTTGTCATTTAATTTTGCATATTCTTGTTTATGATGACTACCTTTATGATAATAGTACAAATACAATAAACTACGGTAAATACAAACTCAAAGGGACCACTAAGTTCATTTGTTATAACCGTAGTTGTTACTTACTTACTTACTTACTTTGGAGATTTAACATGCGCTTTCCGACTGATGCGTATTTCGCACACGGGCCCGGCCAGGCCATTTAATGTGTTTCCGAAAGGGGCAAAAGTGGTCTGTGCAACCCAAGAGGGGGGGTTTTAGGGGTTGCTTATATAGAATTTGGGAATTTTGAGATTTGGAATAGATGCCGATGGGATTGGGGAGGAGAACTAAGGGAGCTGGGTATGGTGGATGTTTGTTTGTTTATGTGATTTTGATTTTGTAGGTTATTGTGTTTTTAGATGCGTTTTATTAGTTCCGTTTTTATTAAGAATACGCCTAAGGCCTTGAAGTTTTTCTAGTTTATTTTGTGGGTTTAGTATTGCTTCTAGAGTTAGAGCCTTGTTTAGATTGAGGGTGGTTTGTAATGCGGTTCGATGTGTTAGGTAGTGTGTGCAGTGGATGAGTGCGTGTTCTGGGGTTTCTGGTTGTTTGCAGTGTGGGCAGTTACCTGTAGTGTGTTTTTTAAATTTTTTTAGGTGGTTATTTAGGTTGGTGTGTCCTGTTTGGAGTTTAGTGATTACTCTGTCGATTTTTTTGGATGGATGGAGAATTTTTGGTTTGGTTAGTGGGCCGTAGTTTTTTTTATAAGTATATATATATAGCAAATGTCCGGGACCAAAAAGTATGTTCATTATATCCGTCATTTCGATAAATGCATGTTCGGTATAAACATAGTTCATTGTATTAAAGAACTATTCCGCAGAGGTGCATTCTGTTTGTATGTTTATGTGTCAATATGTTCATATGTGTATTTCCATTGCCTGCAGAACCTACTTGGGGAAACCTCTCTACCCATCATCAGATGACACACCTGAGACATTTGCTTCAAAGGTAGGAGGAACAAATTCGGATATTTTCCCCGTTTTTTGTTCTACTTTCTTGATTTTCATGGTCGGCGGATCTCGTAAACCAGTTGGAGTGTATGACCTTGAGAGTGTATTTGACCTTTAATATCCATGACAAGTACTATGCAAAGGGCTATCCAGTATATAAACAAAATATGCCCTAGGCAAAATAAAAGCATACTGATTGCAAGTAGGTCAGAGTGACCTACCACTGATATCATGGGATTGTCATTACTTGCCATACACTCCAAATATTCAAATATTATCACTACATGCAAAAGACTAATAATTATCAGCAAAAAAGGCATGTTAGTGAAAATGGAAATTCTACTTTACTAATAACCCTCACTGTGACGATGACCTTCCTCGTAAGTCACTCAGGGTCATATCAAAGAATTTTGAGCCCGTTTGGTTCTGCTAACTCATTGCGGAATTTTTCACATTTTGGCATGCCTCAGTCCAGTGAGTTTTTCCTGTGCCAGAGTGTTTCTTATCAACAATTTTATGTTTCCAACACATCTTCGAACCTTAGGAAACGTGTGTAATATATATCTTGCTGGCATTCATGTTCGTGATATAGGCTCTTCAAAGCGTTGTGATTTTATCAGCACCTCTGTAGACTAGTGGTTCACTCACTCGGCTGTGAGGGTGAAACGATACACCGACATTCCGATGCATCGCGATACTTGACCCACGATACGATATACGATAAACGTGGGCCCATTTATCGATACGCCACGATACGGAACGCAAATCTCAAATACAGCGTTTCCTCACTATTGTGCCTTTCAATAAACCGCTAACTTGGTTATAGCCCGCGGTAATGCATGGCTCCCAAAAAACGTACTTACATTTTTAATAAGCTCAGGTTTTACACCGACAGATGTTTTTCCCCATCTCAAAAAACATTATCAGCTGATCACCGCAAGCACATAACACCGAAAATACCAGTCAGCAAATCCGAACTGAAGTACGCAATTCAATACAATTATTATAGTATCTTGTTATTAAAATGTGTTCATTGTATATCTGGTCTTGTGTTTGTAATATATTTTATTAATTTTATTCAAAATTTCATTTCATATTGTTTTCATTAAGTTAGGTGAAATCGTGTGTGAAGAGATACAGCAACCACGGTCAGATTACCGCTTTTGCCGCATTGAAACGAACTTTAGTTGCTAGAGAACGGATACATATATTACAAATGCCATACTTTGGCTAATATATGTCAACATAACGTTTTTCGCAATCAAAATACCTGTAGCCCGGGAAATCCCTAGGGTGACTGGTCAAATTGTTCCATACGTAAAAATATCCTGCAACAGCAATCACCAGTAACAAAATGCTACACTTGTGGTTCTATAATTTTTAATATATATATAGTAAAAGCTGCAACTAAGGTAACACGATATTGGAATATATTATTCCTGATAAAACAATAATTTCAGATACAATTTCTTCGACCATTGCATCAAAATTCTTTGAAGTTGTATCACTGGTGGAGTACATTAATTATTTTCTGGTGTTTGAACTTTGAATTGAAGGAAAGTTAGAGAAAGTTCCACTTTGAAGCTGAACAACTTCAGTAGTCTTGTTATTATAAAATAATTTTGACTGTTCCAAAATCATGAAAGGTTCAATCTTGACATGCATTAAGTCTTGTTTTTTTGGTGTTTTTTTGCGTATCGAGATACGTATCGCATCGTGACCAGAATATCGAGATGCGTATCGTATCGTGTCCTTCCTGTATCGTTGCAGCCCTACTCGGCTATAATCAAAGTTTCAAAGTTTGATCCCATTGAAATATAGGCAATGACTTAGTGCATGTTGTATGAGTTTGCATCAGTCTGCACATTTCCGTAAGTTAGCATGGTAATGTGTGTTCTATAGATTGTGTTCAATAGTAAAATATATGTCTAACTAAGAACATTCAAAATATGTCAAACCCACTTTACAGGTGTTCCCTCTGGAAGGCCAAGGGGGATTCCCTGTAGAATAGCCCTGAACAGAAGGATATTCTGTAGAAAAACCCTGCAAAGAGGCTATTCTGTGAAAACAAGGTCCCATAAATATTTCAGGATGGCGTCACTAAGGGTTTATAACTGTTAATTGACCTTAACTTGGAGGTATCCAGTGCAGTCATCCAAATGTTTACCTAGAGGGTCAATTGCCAAAGAATATTAATGAACAGTTGAATGCTGTATTTAAGGAGGCTGCCCCATCATATACTACAGTTAAATAGAGAATTTCAACTTGGAGAGAGAGAGAGATAAATGCAACCCATTTCATTCAAGGCTAGTGACAAGTGATGAGACCTGGATCACTGGATCCGAAGAGTAAACCAGAATCCTTGTAACTACCATCTGTTGTTTCATATGTGAAAAGGGCGGTCGGGTAGCCTAGTGGTTTAAAGCGTTTGCTCGTCAATGTACAATGTGTAAAGCCCATTTCTGGTGTCCCCCGCCATGATATTGCTGGAATATTGCTAAAAGCAGCGTAAAACCATACTCACTCACTCACTCACTCACTCACTCACTCAAATGTGAAAAAAACACTTGTGTGGCTAGAGATGTAACTAATTTTAGGAATCTTACCAATCTCACCAGGATTTAACCCTCCAAAAAACACTGGGATAACTGCCCTAAAGGTAAAATTGAACAAGTATATTGAACTGCAAGGCGACGATTATGGGTGGCCCGCGGTCCAAAAATAAAAAGTTGAAATAAAGGACAAAAGTATGCAATAATGGTCAAATGTTACAAATAAAGTATTAAATGTTACTAATGGCCGAATGGCCACCCATAGACGATGTCAACAAATAATTAAAGCTCACAAGAATATTTTTGTTCTCTGTGTGCAAGTCTTAAAACTTTGTTGTGGTGTCCAGCACATATGTTCTGTTTTCAATCCCCTTCTAAACCAGGCTCTGTCCATCTTGCCTTGTGTATGGATTTCAAATGTGTAAATACATGTAAATTATATACAGTCCTCCAAATTGGTGGATATTGACAAGGTAATATGTTATTATTAGTGAATGACGGTGTTGTGAGATGCTAGCCCCCTGTTGTACGTGTTGCAGGTCCAGAGGGCTGTAGAGGCACTGATCAAACGTCATCAGCAGGTGCCTGGAAGTGTTGTCAAAGCACTTTTAGACAGAATGCCATGGAAGATAAAAAAGAGTTGACCCTTCAAAAGGAATATTTATATTTTTAGGTGTATAAAGTCAACATTTTTGTGTGTTTAATGAATGTCTTTGCTCTTACTAATTAATGGACTGTGATTTCCTGCTTGGCTATTGTTATCCAAATAACTCTTGATGTTGGTAGAAAAAGCTGTAGAAATTATCCTGGAACATAGGATACAATTGTCTGTACATTTATTCCACTTCTGTACATTTCAATCAACAGGTCCAACTGACAATAAGAAACAGAGATACAATGGACTCGGCCTTTTGGAACACACCATCCCTCTCGCACCTGTTATCCAAAACTTAACTGCCCAACTACGTCACATAATGACAATCTCATAGAATCTATATACGTACACAAGGAACATAAGGCATCCAGGGATAGGAACAAGGATACTACTCAGGCCTAAAAACAGAAAGGAAGACTGTGCTGACTGTGCTGACTGTAGGCCACTAGAAAATATCACCAAAAATATAAATTTACAAAGCCAAGGAAAATTTATAAAGAAGATCATGTTTTCTGTAGCTTAACACTGGTAGCAGGGACTGGTCTGATCCACACATTCATTGTGCCCATTTCTCCTCATATGATAATGATTGTCATCCAATGTATAAATTTTCCCACATTTTAGGCACACCTGACTGAAAGTCAAGTGAGCTTATTTCATGGCTTACTTGTCCTTCTCAGAAATCCCTTGACCAATGTAACAAACTGCACATGTTCCCACCAATAATGACAGGCCAGTTTGTTCAAGAGGTGTGAATCAACAACTTTTTATGCGATTACTCAGTAATTTTTGTTCTAAATGTAATGAAATTTGGTATGAGTGTAGTTAGAAGTGGGCCTCAACATACATGTCAGATTTTTGCAATGTTTTATGTTTTGACCTTTGAACTTTGCTCCTACATGTTCTCAAAATGTGTTTCCTTGCACTGTAAACATCATTGGTAGGAACACCCATGTGAGGTTTCATCTACATTGGTAGGAACACCCATGTGAGGTTTCAGCTACATTGGTAGGAACAAGCATGTGAGGTTTCAGCTACATTGGTAGGAACACCCATGTGAGGTTTCACCTACATTGGTAGGAACACGCATGTGAGGTTTCAGCTACATTGGAAGGAACACGCATGTGAGGTTTCAGCTACATTGGTAGGAACACCCATGTGAGGTTTCAGCTACATTGGTAGGAACAAGCATGTGAGGTTTCAGCTACATTGGTAGGAACAAGCATGTGAGGTTTCAGCTACATTGGTAGGAACACGCATGTGAGGTTTCCTTGCACTGTAAACATCATTGGTAGGAACACGCATGTGAGGTTTCAGCTACATTGGTAGGAACAAGCATGTGAGGTTTCACCTACATTTGTAGGAAAAAGCATGTGAGGTTTCAGCTACATTGGTAGGAACACGCATGTGAGGTTTCATCTACATTTGTAGGAACACGCATGTGAGGTTTCAGCTACATTGGAAGGAACAAGCATGTGAGGTTTCAGCTTCATTGGTAGGAACACGCATGTGAGGTTTCAGCTACATTGGAAGGAACACGCATGTGAGGTTTCAGCTACATTGGTAGGAACAAGCATGTGAGGTTTCACCTACATTTGTAGGAACACCCATGTGAGGTTTCAGCTACATTGGAAGGAACAAGCATGTGAGGTTTCAGCTTCATTGGAAGGAACACGCATGTGAGGTTTCAGCTTCATTGGAAGGAACACGCATGTGAGGTTTCAGCTACATTGGTAGGAACAAGCATGTGAGGTTTCACCTACATTTGTAGGAACACCCATGTGAGGTTTCACCTACATTGGAAGGAACAAGCATGTGAGGTTTCAGCTACATTGGAAGGAACAAGCATGTGAGGTTTCAGCTACATTGGTAGGAACAAGCATGTGAGGTTTCAGCTTCATTGGTAGGAACAAGCATGTGAGGTTTCAGCTACATTGGTAGGAACACGCATGTGAGGTTTCAGCTACATTAGTAGGAACAAGCATGTGAGGTTTCAGCTACATTGGTAGGAACAAGCATGTGAGGTTTCAGCTACATTGGTAGGAACAAGCATGTGAGGTTTCAGCTACATTGGTAGGAACAAGCATGTGAGGTTTCAGCTACATTGGTAGGAACACGCATGTGAGGTTTCAGCTACATTGATAGGAACAAGCATGTGAGGTTTCAGCTACATTGGTAGGAACAAGCATGTGAGGTTTCAGCTTCATTGGTAGGAACACGCATGTGAGGTTTCAGCTTCATTGGTAGGAACACGCATGTGAGGTTTCAGCTTCATTGGTAGGAACACGCATGTGAGGTTTCAGCTACATTGGTAGGAACAAGCATGTGAGGTTTCAGCTACATTGGTAGGAACAAGCATGTGAGGTTTCAGCTACATTGGTAGGAACACGCATGTGAGGTTTCAGCTACATTGGTAGGAACACGCATGTGAGGTTTCAGCTACATTGGTAGGAACAAGCATGTGAGGTTTCAGCTACATTGGTAGGAACAAGCATGTGAGGTTTCAGCTACATTGGTAGGAACAAGCATGTGAGGTTTCAGCTACATTGGTAGGAACAAGCATGTGAGGTTTCAGCTACATTGGTAGGAACACGCATGTGAGGTTTCAGCTACATTGGTAGGAACAAGCATGTGAGGTTTCAGCTACATTGGTAGGAACACGCATGTGAGGTTTCAGCTACATTGGTAGGAACACGCATGTGAGGTTTCAGCTACATTGGTAGGAACAAGCATGTGAGGTTTCAGCTACATTGGAAGGAACAAGCATGTGAGGTTTCAGCTTCATTGGTAGGACCACGCATGTGAGGTTTCAGCTTCATTGGTAGGAACACGCATGTGAGGTTTCAGCTACATTGGTAGGAACAAGCATGTGAGGTTTCAGCTACATTGGTAGGAACAAGCATGTGAGGTTTCAGCTACATTGGTAGGAACACGCATGTGAGGTTTCAGCTACATTGGAAGGAACAAGCATGTGAGGTTTCAGCTTCATTGGTAGGAACACGCATGTGAGGTTTCAGCTACATTGGTAGGAACAAGCATGTGAGGTTTCAGCTACATTGGTAGGAACAAGCATGTGAGGTTTCAGCTACATTGGTAGGAACACGCATGTGAGGTTTCAGCTACATTGGAAGGAACAAGCATGTGAGGTTTCAGCTACATTGGTAGGAACACGCATGTGAGGTTTCAGCTACATTGGTAGGAACACGCATGTGAGGTTTCAGCTTCATTGGTAGGAACAAGCATGTGAGGTTTCAGCTACATTGGTAGGAACAAGCATGTGAGGTTTCAGCTACATTGGAAGGAACAAGCATGTGAGGTTTCAGCTTCATTGGTAGGAACAAGCATGTGAGGTTTCAGCTACATTGGAAGGAACAAGCATGTGAGATTTCAGCTACATTGGAAGGAACAAGCATGTGAGGTTTCAGCTTCATTGGTAGGAACAAGCATGTGAGGTTTCAGCTACATTGGAAGGAATCAGCATGTGAGGTTTCAGCTACATTGGTAGGAACACGCATGCGAGGTTTCAGCTACATTGGAAGGAACAAGCATGTCAGGTTTCAGCTTCATTGGTAGGAACAAGCATGTGAGGTTTCAGCTTCATTGGTAGGAACACGCATGTGAGGTTTCAGCTACATTGGTAGGAACACGCATGTGAGGTTTCAGCTTCATTGGTAGGAACACGCATGTGAGGTTTCAGCTACATTGGTAGGAACAAGCATGTGAGGTTTCAGCTACATTGGTAGGAACACGCATGTGAGATTTCAGCTACATTGGAAGGAACAAGCATGTGAGATTTCAGCTTCATTGGTAGGAACACGCATGTGAGGTTTCAGCTTCATTGGTAGGAACACGCATGTGAGGTTTCACCTACATTGGTAGGAACACGCATGTGAGGTTTCAGCTTCATTGGTAGGAACACGCATGTGAGGTTTCAGCTACATTGGTAGGAACACGCATGTGAGGTTTCAGCTACATTGGTAGGAACACGCATGTGAGGTTTCACCTACATTGGTAGGAACACGCATGTGAGGTTTCAGCTTCATTGGTAGGAACACGCATGTGAGGTTTCACCTACATTGGTAGGAACACGCATGTGAGGTTTCAGCTTCATTGGTAGGAACACGCATGTGAGGTTTCAGCTACATTGGTCCAGTGGTTCCTCAGGTGATGTTTACAGTGTGAGGAAATGCATTTGAGAAAATGTAGGAGCAAAGTTAAGTGCAAAGGTCAAATCAATGCAACAAGAGAGATTTCCCAAGTGTTTTCACTGATAGGGGGACCATAAGGTGTTGGTTCTCATTGTCTGAATAAACCTATCATTTAAAGGTGATTATAAATATGTGTCGGATAGGTGCAGAAGTGAATTCATTAATTGAATACTGTTGTCTATCAATCTATGCAGGGATTAGTCGACTCCTTCATTTTGTTCACAAGGATGTGAAGTAGAGAGGATATTCTATCACAGACATGCAGTCAAAAACTCAGTGCAAGTAAAAATGATTTTAGTGTCAGTGATCATTACAATGGTTCTGTATTTATTCATGCTTGAGAATTCCCAGGGGTTTCCCAAGTAATGTGGAATTAGTCCCTCTGGGTTTCCTATGATACAGTCTCATAAATAATGTGTTGAAATGAGTTATTCATATTCCTTATGAACATCCGTTTCTTGGTAATGCAACTTGTCTCTCATTCAATGGGAAATCTGTATATTGTGTAAACATCACATTAAAAAATGGTTTAACAAAACACTTATGTTTTTCATACAAATTACAATGAATGACAAAATAGAATGTCCTTTGAGTTTTTTCCACATTTGCAACTGGCATCATCACTAGTATTCAAACTGACACAGAACTGATCATAATTCAAATCAGAAAGTACAAGACTGATGATTCTGTTTTAAGTAAATCATTTCAAGTTTAAGAAAACCATAAATATACCCTGAAGACATGAGTGTCCATAGCCATACCGACCATGGTACTTGACCATGGTACCACGTCAATGGTTAAGGCTTTGTCACTCAGCAACAAAAACATACTTTTACAATAACAATATACTCAGCAAGAAAAGGAAACGCTAAAGTAGTAAAATCGTAAATATCTGACAGAATGTTGCCAACATCCTTACAAAATTAATACCAAAAATGAATTGGGCATTTCTACATGGATTGGGATTGATTTGTGATGAAAGAATGTGGTACAGCAGAATTTGTGAAACGATTCAAAACAACCATGTGAGAGCCTGGTGCCAAAACACGCACATGCAACACCACTTATTGGGCTCTAAAAACATTGGGTTTTCATTTTCATGCCATCACAATCTTACAAGTGAACTGCAAAAAAATGCCATATCTGATGGAATCACAATGCCATCGGCCGACTGCAACAGGAGAATCGTCTTCAGCTGTAGCCAGGTTTTTCCAGGTTGCACCAAGCACCATTACAAGACTGGAAACGTTTACAGACACACAGGACCTTCCAAGATCCCATGGACCATGTATCACTACATGAGCACAGGACAGATTCACTTACGTGAAAAGGGGCGGTCGGGTAGCCTAGTGGTTAAAGCGTTCGCTCGTCACGCCGAAGACCCGGGTTCGATTCCCGACATGGGTACAATGTGTGAAGCCCATTTCTGGTGTCCCCCGCCCTGATATTGCTGGAATATTGCTAAAAGCGGCGTAAAACCATACTCACTCACTCACTCACTCACATACGTGAAAGAACCACCACGGCCACAGTCAACCAGTACGGCAACACCTGGATTGCGTAGGATGTCAGCCCAGTCCATGTGGAACTGTTTACGGGCTGAAGGCTTTCGGCTGACGGACGACCTGTTTGAGGTGTCATTTTGACAGACCTGCATCGTCTGCAGTGATGTCAGTCGCAGAGTATGGCCACAACTGTGATGGAGACAAGTTTGATTTAGTGATGGGTCACGGTTTTTTTATAAGATTTTACCACGTTTTATGATAGAGGTCGTGTTTACAGGTGTCGCGGGAACGTTATGCACGAAACTGCATACAGGAAGTGGACAGATTTGGTGGTGATAGTGTTATTATGTGGGCTGCTATCTCCTACACTGGTAGAACAGACTTGGTGAAAGTTCTAGGGAATTTAACAGCACAACTTTACATGGATGACATTATTCGTCCACAAGACCTTCCCATTATGCAACAAGCGAACATCACTTTCCAACCAGAAATCGCCCGACCCCATACCGCCTGACAACAACCTCTTTCAGGAATCACAACATCCAGGTCCTGCCATGGACCTAAAGGTCTCCAGATTTATGGGATGCACTGGATCAACGACTGCGAGCACGTCAACAACAACCACAGAACCTCAGACAGTTGGCACAAGCACTGCAGGCAGAGTTGGTGAACATTCCCCTCGCCACAATTAGGGATTTGATTGCTTTCAAGGGACGACGATGCCAATCAGTTTTTTACTCTAATGGTAGTAGTAGTAGTAGTAGTAAATCAAAAGAATTCCCATTGTTTCTAGCTCAGTTTATTACAAAGGTAATACTTCCGCTCACTTGTGGTTTTGGAAAACATTAGAACTTCAAACGAGAAAGTATTGTGACTGTAGCCTACTTTGTCACTTAGTGATTAGTACTTCCTGTTTGAATGAGGTCACTTCAAGTACCCGAAAATGGATGTCTGCCAAATGAAAGTCCCGTCTCTGTAACTAGTATATGGCAAAGCTATTTGTACTTCTGGCTTTAAGTGTCTCACTTCCTGTTTATAAATAGCGTGTGAACCTCAAGCCAAAAGAACCCACCCATCAAGCCCAGTCAGCAAACTTGAAAATTCCAAGACTGTAGGTGGGTAAAGTACAAAGTTAAAAGTAATTCCCGTTATGAGGTGTAAATTGTCACTTCCTCTTTACCAACAAGGGGGAACGGGTAGCCCAGTGGTCTAAGGCGCAGCAATTCGCTTCCCATAGTAACGTCCATTGGGCACACCAAATACCTATGATTGTGTTCGAATCCCGGTTCGTCCCTATGTTTCTATGTTTGCCAGCACCATACCGGTGCTCAAGGGTTTCACCAAGGTAGTAAACTCTAGAGATATGCATCACTTAGGGTTTACCTCCAACATTATGCTGACATGCCGTCAAATGACTAGAACAATGTTTAGAGTGACGTTATAAACATCCAATATACCAATAAACAACATACGTTTACAATTATAGATTCTCAAAAATAAAATTGAGAAAACCTCAAGGTTTTTACTTTCTTCAACACCTGATCCTCCACCAGTGTAATGCAGAAGAAGCGTCGATAAAATACGTTACAAAACACCGTTCACTGGGACGAAGGATCTGGTGTAAAGTCAAACAAATACATATGTAACTGTTTGTTTGAAGCTTTATTTGTAAACGTATGCTTGTAGTTTGCAGTAAAAAGGAACTCATCACAAAGAACTCGTCCCTCAAGCAACAGTCATCAAGATTAAAAATTCCGTGGCTCCAGCTAAGTTCCAAAGTTAATGGTACTCCAGTTTATGGCTTTACTTGTCACTTCCCCTTTCGCAACAAAACTCATACATTTATTGTAATCGGCTTTCAAAAATAAACTACAAAGGTTATTGCTTTATTTTAAACCTGGCCCTCCGTTATTGGCAGGGCAATAAACAGTGTCAATAAAATGCATTACAAAACAGTCTCCACTGCCTCCGCTAACGGGGGATCGGGGACACACAAGAAGAAATCTTTTCACTTATATACCTTTATACTTATATAGTAGTTCTTGAATTTTCTTGCAGATACTGAATCTAAGTTATCTGCAAGAAAATTTATGTCGGAAAAATGAAAGTCTGGAAGTTTTCTATACACTTGGTATTCACAGCGGACATACACAACAAACATTTGGACACAATCAGACCACAAGCTCTTGAATGACAAGTGACGATAAAACTCCATTTGAGCCCCCCCCCCCCCCCCCCCCCCCCCAAAAAAAAACAACAAAAAAACAAAAAAAACAACAACAACAAACCAAAACAACAACTTCTTTCAGTATGTTGACAACTGTATTTAATCAAGAGTCAGATAAAGAAAAACTGAAAAACGAATATACTCGCCAAGTGGCGTTACTTCTGACAAAAGAAAATGTGCACAGTACAATGTTTATACATACTGCAAACTTTCAATGTTTGTATGCATATCATAGGTGAATTTACGTCGGACCATTGTTTGATGTAGCAGGTATGGAAACCATATAGGGGAAATTTAGATGCCTTTCAACAGGGAGGTTCAGAAGAGAACATTGCCAACGACGTTATGTGAATAATACACTGATTATCTTTAATCCAAATTTTCTGCCATAGTACCTGACCTATGACCTTAGTCAAAGAAAAACGTGACTGGCACGTGACGATACTACAATCTGCTAATTTTGACGGATGAGCGATTGAGGAGCAATAGGTTAAAATAATGTCGTTGTCAGGAACCATGTTGTAATTGTTTCCCCTAAGTCTTGGGAGTTGTGAGTGTTCAACATAGTATATAATAAATCTGGACAAAGTTGGACCACTGGTTTTGGGGTCACAGGTGGTTTTAAAAAGTTCCATGTTAGACTCAACAACAGACCACAGAAACACCATATAACCCGTTTTGTTCACTAGAAAGGATAGCAGAAAGGTCATATAAATTCATATGTATACTAGTGTATGTTGTATTTTCCAACATGGTTGGTTTCGTACCCGACTGGTCAAAATTCAGTAATCTGCACGACTGTTACAAATCCGTCTGGATAAACGGGGTTCCACCGTCCATCGTTAACCTTGACTTATTATCCACACGGTGTACAGTCGGTACAAACACCGGCATTGCAGAACTGCATCTGATGTTGCACTTTCCAATTACCCATGTTGTGACAGTGAGAGGCCCGACGACAGACCCATGCTGCTATGGGAGGAGGCTGTGTCATTTAGTTTGACTGGATGCTGCAAAGGTACGTATATCCTGACACGCATCACACGTTGAAATGTACTCGACAACATCGTCACTTGCACCTTTACCAAAATCCGCAATGAACTCAGAAAACACAATAATCGTACACTTAGAACCTGTAGTGCAGTGAGTGGTAGTTGCAGATGATGACTTGCTAGTCAGGTCTTACTGCTGCCACACTCCAGAATTCATCTGCCCCCAACCTAACGCAAACTTTGTATTTTAGCAAGCAACCTAATGTCAGTGGTCACAAAGAAGACACAATTTATGGATAACAACTTCTTTAATTTACTATTATAACGTTTCGGTGTAAATCCTCATACCGTTGTCACGTGAGACTGAGCATGGTACAGAATTATATATGGTAAGTGTAGGGTTAACACTAACAACAATTTACATACTTCAAAAAGATTAGGGTTAACAGTAACACCAGACGGATAATATTGTAACAACATTAATGGACAGAGAACACAATAAGACACCAGAAACCTTTTTTGTTATGTTTTGAAAGCTTTAGCATGGCCCAATATCCTATATATTTATGGTGATGTTTCAACGCACATTTTCAATGTTATTGTTAATTAAAATTTTGACAAAGGGCCAATGTCTAATTCCATAAGGACCAAAGTCAAAAGTATAGACAGAGTAATCCCGAAAGATTCTTGCTGTATAACCCTGATTTGTTTGACATTGGTTATTGGCGAAAATAACTTTATCCATTGTATTCATCAACATAAAAGTTATCATAATGTATAAGATAGATTTACTGAGAGTGTTTTATGCATAGGA